AACAGTGTGGTTCTGGTTTTCTGGAGTTGGATCACACAATATCATCATCTACTTGTCTTCTATGATGTGTTTAGTGGTTCCCTACTAAGTGAGAATACATCTCGATACAGGGTGTTGATCCCTATTCAGGTCGTTTTGCTGTTTCATGTGTACGTGTTAATCCGGTATTCCTGAACGGGAATACCAAAATAATATATCAAACCACAAGTGGATTAGAACGATACAATCGGTGCATGAATGTGCACTGAACTGTGCTTGTTTTCATGAGGAAGAATATCTCGTGATCGCTAAACGAATTTGGGAGTTTGGTCACACAGCCTCTCCATTGAGGCGATCACAGATAATCATATGAGCATCCTAGCTGCCCTGAAAGTTTCTGCATTGCGACTCGTACGAGACGACAAATTGTTTAGACTGCTTCACAAGCAGTCCAACACGAACTGCCGGATATTTTTTGATTGATTCGTCGTAACTGGTTGATTTGAAAATAATTACAAGCCTGAATTGAAGACGCACTGAAAAGCATGGCGTATGTCACTGCAGCTACCAAACTCTGTAGTCAATATATACTATACGTTGGCCTACGATTCGGGACCGTCTCGGAAGACTACTCATTGCTGGTAGTTTCAACCAACCACTCAGGTTATTGAGGCCTGCTCATTTCATTGTTGCCCGTTCATATGATGCTGAAAATACAAGTAACTATTCCGTACACGTAATAAAAGCGTCCGTGCGATATCCACGCTAGGCATTCGCGTAGCCGCAGAATTTTCTGTAGGCATATTTAGCCTGCCCTGGATCGTTTGGTCAGTCACTAATTCCCTCTCGGAACGTGTTCAGCTTTCCTTTGGTAGATGCTTTGGATCTGTGGATGAGCATAGCGCCTTCGTTTTCACGGAAATATCACTCAATTTTTTCTCACTGTTTAAAGCCGAAAAATATATCAGCCGGAGGTGTATGCGATGTTAATTTCTCCCTCTTCTTTTTCTATTTCCTACAGTTGGCCCACCTCTTCTGTTTCCCGTCTACTTTCAATTTATGTCATTTCGCCATATCTTTGTGCGAAGATGTTATGAGGTCAGTACCAATACTCATATATTTTTCTGGACCTTTTTCTTCCAGTGCTTGCATAAGCTGATCTAGGTTCCGGGGGTTGCAGGCTGTCAAATTTATCTGTATGACGAGTTTGCCATCAACTGGCGTTTATCAGATTTTCGTACAACCCCCATGGTCTTGCAGTTTGAACCAGAACCGTGGCCGTGACTTCTGTATTTTTCTCGAATAGTTTCATTCGGCTGAAGTACACATTTGGGCATAAGCTCTACTTCGCTTTCGATATACCTTAGCAGAGGGTTTCATCATGCCACCGCAGCGTCCTCCCAAGTCCATCTGAATGGTCCGATCATTTTGGCTACTTATGCCTGTGTAGTAGTAAAAATAAACCAGCGGCGACGTTTGGATGGAGATGCAGCTCCGCTCCCGTATTCTGCTGACACATAATGCTAACGCCCATTAGAATACTTTATTTTTTGTCTACGATCCAATTGAATTACCTTATTTTATTGTGCTTGCTCCGCGAACACAACCCATCAAACCAACCTACTAGTTCATAACCCTTTAAATGGCTGCGGTCTGCCAGTCCCCTTTTGAAGAAAAAAATTGCCGGTGACGCACCTAGGAAATCGATCCACTGAAATTCTTCCGAGTTTTCGTGTGCGTTCCATGTTTTAGTGCTACGCGCTTGTTCAAGCCATCAGTTTTACAAAATTGGAAATTTGAGTACTTCCTTTCATACCTTGCTATGCTCACTTACTGGGTTAAATGTTTGGGTGTGCATCAACAGAACGTCGTTTGTTCCCTGGTTCACATGTGTCAACTAGGATGGGATCGCTTGTTTCAGACTTACTGATTATAGCCATAAAGTTGTTGTGATCACAAGCCTCCTGGAAAGCAACCGTGATAAAATTTTGCCTAATGTTGCGTGAATTCATGCAGGCTTTCCTATAACCTAATGATGGCGTCGTCAGACTGTATGTTGTACCCTCACCGAGCTCCATTGAACTTTGATCTTGTTACCGGGTCTATATCGAACGCACACGTCCTGCATGTGTCAATACCCGAGTGACAGCTGCATTGTTACACAGCTGTATGTCAAAATACCAACCCGTGGCGCAACTACATGTTACAGCTGGAAAGGGATGTTATCCATTCTTGTGCATGCTTGCCTTATGGTGGTGCAGAAAATAAGAAGTGCTGTGCAACTGTGCGCTTTCAGATGTCTTGTTGCCTGAAGAATCGAGGGTGGCGCGCTCAAAATTTTCTACGACAACTTTCTCAACCGAGATCTTTAAAGACTGATACTTTCGTTTCATTTGAATCTTCATGAAAAAAGTTGCTCCTCATCTCAAATCGATGTAAACCCAGCCTTGTTAAAGTTAGCATTGATCTCTCCGTTTTATCATGAGGATGCGGGGTGTTCCTCGCCTGACATTAGAGTCATTTCCCGAAGGTTATTCCCTATACCGCTTGTTGGATGAATAGGATTAGTCCAAGAGAGCAAAGCGTTGGACTTTTGAATTCCATTTATGAAGTTTCTCATCTTTCTTTTAGGACCTCGCGTGGGTGATGGGCTTTTTCACCAAGCTGTTTGTCCTGTACTACCCACTTCTTGGATTTTGGGGCACGCTGGCTTATTTCTTTTGCGTCCGGTAAGGAAAATTCCATCATCATCATGTAGGCTGTCACTTTTTTTAAATGTTTTATGCCATCAACCTCGTTTCACACCATCCGTCTATCACGAGTTATGCTCACAACTGCTTGCTGTGGTCCTGTTTTTTGCGTGCTAAGTGTTTTTTTTAGTTTGTCCAAATCAGCTAAAACTGCCGGACCAATCTTTGGATGTGTCCTGTGGCCTTTAGTCGTAAGCTTATCACTATGTATGCTGCTTTGAGGGTCGCTTTCCTCTCCTCGGAGGCGTGGGCTTAAGACATGCAATTTTGACACCTTTTACTTAGTGTCTGGTGGGGGGTCATATAATGGGTGTCTGGCAGTGGTAATAATCCGTCGGAAGTAAAACTAGACAATATGGGACAACGAACCTGGGGGAGTCTAGTGTGCACGATCAGCTGTTTTGCTGAGTGGATTTGGTTCTAAACAAAATGATGCATTCATGAGTGAAACAAACGGGAGATACAAATGAGCTCAGTATATATTGCACGACAGAATGGTCTTCACTTTTCGAATTTGCAGAATTACCTAGTCCCTCCACGATTTTCTTCTAACTCGCTCTGAGCTGTCACACAGGTTACATACGGGGTATTCTGAATGTTACCTAAATCTGTCTCTACTGGAATCGAGACTGCTCTTGTTGCTCAAAATCGGCTGGTAATTAGAGCAACTTCATGCTTTATTGATTGGGACTACATTTCAAGAATACCAGGCCAACAGGTTCATCCAATGCATCTGTCAGCTCTCTATACATGAATCATGGTGCTTCGATCAACCAAACTAGTTTTTTTGTACACCGATGTTCTTATGGAAGCCTCCAGCAATGTTTCTGGCAGGTCAGTCTCATAAACAGAACACTTCCTGCCTGCATTAGTCATTAGTCATTGATTTATTGGCTGCGGTCGGCGCCCAAATTCCCCACTTTCTAGAGGAAGTCCCATTGCCCGATTTCTGTCTGTCCTTATTTGTAACATACATAACGCTTTTGCATGCCGTTCTTTTCTTTGAAGCGCTTATCTTGACATTTTCCATAGGAATATATCATTCCCATCTTTTGATACATACAGTCTCTGATAGACGTTTGACAACTCAGCGTCACTTGTGAAACGAAAAGTTGTTGCGGTGTTGTAGCTTGTTTAGGTCATCATGTCCCGTACCTTTTTCATATTATTTTAGTTTTAACAGTAAGGCGTACGACTAGTTCAAGTGCATACTGACTCAAATGAACGCACACACCTACATAGTTATTGTACGCATCAGTATATGTGTTCTCCCTCTTCCGTTCGCGAAATTCCCTGTTTGGTTCAATGTGACATGGTAAAATGTGTGTCCTCTCTAACGGAACAAACTTACCCTATTACTATCATTGCTGTTTATTTCAGGAAAGCACAATCACAGCCATAGAATCAGAGAAATTGATTTGGAATGATGTGCAAGAGGAGGCTAGAGAAAAAGAGCGATACGCTGTTTTAAAAAGCGTGCCATCAGTAGTTTTCTAGACGAAAAAATTATACCCAAGTTACGTGAAAGTGCTTCGCATGGAGCACATAGGTGAAGACTTACATCTGCGGGTTGGACGAGCAGTTCGCAAGGCATTTCAAAGCCACCTTACTCTGGTCACTTTAACATCTAAATCCGAATTTGAATTCTTTTTACCTGGGACTCGCTTATAGTCATGACGGTTAATGCGTCTACTCTTGAAAAAATATGACATCCTCATGTTCAAATTGGTCATGGGAGTGTTGTTGCGTCTGCTTTTCTTCTGCTTTTCACAAGCTTTACTGACGCCTACTGTTTTTTCTTGCTGATTTTCTTTTCTCTTCACTCTGTTCCTAGCAGCTTTGTCACATTTTGAACAATGCGTGTATAGCATGACAATTTTCATATATGGTTACATTTGGTCCGTTTGTTTCGTCGTTTTACAGTGTCGCCGAAAGTCACTGGTTCACGTGGGTCAGTCAGTCAAATCACATACCGATGGAGATTTCTTATGACCGGGCTGAAGCTTGGCTGCCTATGCAAAACAGGGCTACCTGCAACGTGGAACATTCTGTTTTCAATGACTGGTTCACAGGTCACCTGAACTTCCAAATAGAACATCAGTGCGTTTACGGAAGCAACTTGTTTAAGTTTCCGCTGAACTAAATTAAGCTGATACCATTCTTTCATGCATTTCTAAGAAGTCTTTAAAAAACTTGGGCTGCGAGAATCCTTCGTTGATCGATGAACTCGAAACAGTATTTGGTGTCCGTGGCTTATTTTCTGTCCACTTCTTCATCTCGTTACTATTGGTGGGCTCGGTAATAGACAAAATTTACATAGGTGCATATTTCTCAAGACTGTCCCGGACATGAACATATGGTAACCAGATGGCATCGATTGTGAAATGTCAGTCAAGCTTTCCACAATAAAATCCCGCTCCATTTTCAGCTTTTCCCAGTTGAATCGTGTTGGTTTGATTGCATCCTTCACAGGAAAGGTGCAATTAGATCACATTGTCAGAACCTTGGCACAAGTAGTCCCATTATCGGCCTCTCTATAGGTGTTCAGAAGCCAGAATGCTTCGTCCAGAGTTAGTTTTGCAGGTGCTTTTTGGGTAGACTGCATTCGCGTCTCAGAACAGACCTTTTGCAAGTAGTCCCATTATCGGCCTCTCTATAGGTGTTCAGAAGCCAGAATGCTTCGTCCAGAGTTAGTTTTGCAGGTGCTTTTTGGGTAGACTGCATTCGCGTCTCAGAACAGACATTTTGGGACTATTGTCAAACGCGCCTTCTCCTGTAGCTGAGAACTACATGATAAAGATTTCCAATTTCATGGCCGATTACATTGGAATGGTTTTCAGCGTGCACAGCTGTGTATGGTTTGGAAAGAGGCGTGCATCGTTGGTTGCTCCATTAGACGAGACTCATTTGTCGATGTTTCACTCGTTACCGATTACCTACTCCCTTGTGCCCACTCCTTTATTCATCCGAGATTCCTGAATTTTCCGCAATGCTGAAGTTCCTCCTAATATAGTCTTACGGCCAAACGTATGCCGTACGATTTCTGTTGTTGATTAGCTGATCGTGGTGAGTTTGAATCTTTCCTATTAAATCATCAATGGATTGTGTCCTCATGATCAGTAGCACTTGGTACTATCGCCGAAGTAGACCAACTCATCTACATCACGATGTTGTTCAACAAAAGATTTTGATGGGGATTCCGGAGCACTGTTGTGAGATAAAGCGGCTACGAATACACAACACCTTGTAATGGATGCATGCAGCATTTAAATAGGTCGACCGAATTCCCACTGTAATTAGTCTCAGTATTATTGTGATAACGACGAGACAGCTTTGACAACAGTGTGAGTCTTTTGAGCGATGATTATGTCACCACCCAGTTTTCAGTGTCTGATGCTCTAATGAACATCGAAGTAATTCTGTCCACTCCTTAATCTCGTTGCAATTGATGGGTTCCGTAATACATTGGAAATCTACACGGTCTTAAGTTTTCCAAAAAACCTGTGCTTGGCAGGATCATACGGTGACCAGATAGTACCGATCGTGCACTGACAGACGTGCTTTCTGCAGAAAAATTCCCTTCCACTTTGTGTTTTTCGTGAGCGCGTTCAAATTTTTTCATCTTCATTGGTTTTAGAAAGATCTCACACATGTTTATCCGGTACCGGGGCTAAACGAGCAGATTGATCAGTCTCTCCTTGTT